TTACCTAAAATTCATAAACCGGAAATTCCTTTGAGACCCATTGTCCTTTTGTTAATTCTCCGACTTATGCAATTTCTGGTTATCTTGCGAGAATTTTGTCGCCTGTTGTTGGGAATACTGATTACACGGAAGTAGTATAGGGCGTCTCCATAGGGAGCAAAGGGATGCCGCCATCAATTAACATAAATAACAAAGGATTCAAGATGGCCTCTAAGTCCCATAGGGAGGATTCAAGATGGCGTCTAAGTCCCTTAGGGAGGATTCAAGATGGCGGCGGAGACGTCATCAGAAAATGACATCATTCAAGATGGCGGTGTAATATATTCATAATATGAGGGTGTAGGTGGGGTAAAAATTGGTTCACGGCCTCCCTTAGGGAAATGTAACGTGTACTTGTATGTTCATGTTACACATACGACATCATGATGAGATATATATGTATGTCAAGACCTCACTTCCCATCCATGTGGGAGATGTTACAACACGTTACGCATGCGCAGTGTGAGATGTCTGTCAGAGACTTTACGCATGCGCAGTGTAAGATTTTGTCTGAAAAAGATGGCTGTTCAGGGGCTGCCTGAAGCTGCCCAAGGCTGCCCTAACCTCTAGGGGATTACATGAAGGCTGCCCAAGGCTGCCCTAACCTCGAGGGGATTAAATGAAGGCTGTCCGAGGCTGCCTTAATCTCTAGAGAACTAAAAAAAAAATTTACAGGTTGTAGCCAATGAGAAGATTTTGCTAAATCATGCAGGATCAAAGTTCTACAGTTTGTAACCAATGAGTAGGTAGAATTCAAAAACAAGAGATCTAAGATGTATAAAAGTAGAGCAGATTTTTAAGGAACTCACTATTCTTTCTCGTAGAGTGGTGAGCAAGCAAGCAAGCAAGCAAGCAAGCAAGGAACAAGATGTCGTCAAATACCAAGAAGAATCATCCTTATGTCAAAAAAGAAAACAAGAAGAAAACAGAAGCCAAGAATAAGTTGAAGGGTACTATTTTCATTGATGCGCTGCCTATGTTTGATCCTGATTTCCGAGGTAAAGATAACGTTCCTGATACACCGATGCATGACAATTTTGGAGGAGAACCACCCAAGTTTGATGTGAATGAGCCACGAATAGCTGTGGATTATATGAAACCAGAACACCGTATTCCTCCCAAATCAAAGCCTGCCAAGTCAAAGCCGCCATTGAAAGAGTTGAACAAACTGGTAGAAACTATCAAGACAGAATCGACGACAGAGAAGACCGAGGTAGAAGTGCTAGAAGAAGGCGAGATTCCACAGGATTCTGGTACAGGTACGTATCAGTATTCCTCCTTGGATGAGTTACTGGACAGTGTGGAAGTCAGTTATCCATGTCCGATCCACCAGAGCATGATGGACGTATTGAAATCTAAAAAAGAAGATTGTGACGATGTATTCCTACGTTGCTCGTCCGCCCGTTGCCCAGTATTTTGTAATCTCAGTGATTACAACCGTTATTACTATGAATGTCAAAGACAGGGTCACCCCTGGTTCACCCTGGACAGAATCGACAAGATGGTGTGCGAATGTGGAATGACTCCTACATTGTCTTTGACTCATTCAGAAACAAATTATGGCAAAATGTATTTGCGATGTAGTCGACATAACTGTGATCTTTTTACCTGGTGGCGATTTAAACCCAACAAGAGGTCAGTGCAAATTCTTACGGATGGATGTGAATGATTCATTTCAGGACTAGATGTCAAGATGACATTTGCTGATTTATTAGAAGCCCTTTTTCCTTTACTTTAAAGAAAGTAATGAGGGTCAAATGCATTAATTTTTTAGGCATAGTGTACATTCAAACTTTTCTTTCACCAGATGTAAAAATACACATGTTTTTTAATTGTAATTCCAAGTTTTGTTAATTTTTTGTAGATGGGATAAGTACAGACCATCTTGAAATCGCACGGTTGATGGGTAGAAACACAAAGCTAGATACATTGTCTACGGACGATCATGTTGAAATCGCTTGGTTGATCGGTATGCCTAAGTTTAGGAAATTAGCTAGACGCTTAGGATTGTCGGATAAAGACTTAGAATGTATTGCTTGTGATGTACAGTTTTTAGAAGATAATATGGATAAATAAATAAAAGTTGTATCACCAAAAACACTGTGTCATTTGTCTGTGTCAATCATGAGGCGTGGAAGACGGTCACTGATTAAAAGAAGAAAACGCAATCAACGTGGGGGTGCTTCTGTGAGTAGGGTTAAGAAAATTCTTCGTAGAGGTCCCTCTCTTACCGATAAATTAGCTTACGCAGCGAGTATGTTGTTATCGGGTCCTGCACCAGGTTTTGGAACACTTGGTAAACTTCTGGGAAAACAGGCTTTAAAAGGCATTATGGATAATGTCAAGCATTATAAAGAGGGTCGGCGATGAAAAAAAATCACGAGTTCATCATGCCTACCGCGTGGAGTCAATGTCTATGCTACTTACATTATCGAGTGGTGTCGTGGCTTTGTGATCGCATCACACGTATAGTCTACGAAAAGGATGAGCCGCATAAAATCCCTTACCAATGGGTTCCCGAAGACATGGAAGTTGAGGTGTTTAAGTTTGTCGTGAAACCACACCTACATCCACTGCACGACCGTATCTTTCATTTGATGACGTTTATGAGATACTATGATGGGAAGTATACATATAAGACGTGGAATCAATTGTATACGCAGTATCTTCATAAGTATTGGGTCACCTACCATTGTTTCAAACTTTGGTGTCATTTATTATGGTTAAGAACATTAAGAAAGATGTCAAGGACGACTTGTATGAAGAACCCGGTGTCGTCGGTAGTTTAGGTGGTGTGGCACCGTATGCCAAAGCTCAAAAGATCTCTATTGCTCAAGGTAAAAAAGAATTAGAGAAAAAATTGGCGTACACGCTTCACAAACCCAGACGTCGACGAGGAGAATTTTTACCTGTGGTGGTGTTCGACATTGATCAACAATGGGTAGCAGATTTGATCGAAGTACAGACCCTATCCAAACAGAACAAGGGATACCGATACGTATTGGTCGTGATCGATGCCTTTTCCAAATACGCGTGGGCCCGGCCGATTAAAAAAGAAAACAGGAAAAGATGTGACGGATGCGTTTGCAAAAATACTCAAGGAAGCCAAAGGAAGGAAACCTCAGACGTTACAGACAGATGCAGGCAAAGAATTTTACAATCAGACCTTTCAATCATTGATGAAAACACAGGAGATTCATCACTTTTCTACTCATGGAGATGCCAAAGCCAGTATCGTCGAACGATTTAATAGAACCCTTAAATCGAAATTGTATCGCTATTTCACGGCTGCCAACACACTCAAATATGTAGACATATTGCCCAAACTTGTCAATCAATACAATCGCACCTATCACAGGAGTATTAAAACTACACCAGCTAAAGTCACCACATTCAATGCCACAGAAGTGTGGAACAATTTGTATGGGAAATATCAGACTAAGAAAGAAAAAAAGCCTGCATTTAAAGTAGGCGATAAAGTCCGATTGAATAAAAAATTTAGACCGTTTAAGAAAGGGTATCTACCAGGATGGACGGAAGAAGTGTTTCAAGTTCGTAAAGTCGTACCCGGAATGGTAACGACCTATAAAGTGAAAGAATTGGATGACACGCCCTTACAAGGCACATTTTATGTGTGGGATTTGCAAAAAGTACATGTAGATGAAGCGACTTATTTTCGAGTGGAAAAAGTATTAAAGAGACAAAAGGATAAATTGTTTGTCAAGTGGAAAGGGTACCCTAGCAAATATAACAGTTGGATTAATAAAAAAGATTTAAAGTGAATTGTGTGTTTGTGGTGATCGCATCATGAGAGGAGGAAGTTTGAGACGCTTTAAAGTGTATGTGCCAAATGAACAAGGAGGTGGTGGTCTCATGCGCTGGCAGACCCCCTCACCTTATGCCCCACCACCTTTTATCGGATCCTGGGGTGATCCTCAAATAGGTGCCGGAGTCAAAGACATGGCTAAAGATTTTTTGAAAGGTGTAACAGGAGGCCTTAAAAGCAGTGTCAAAAAGCGTTCGTTATCAGAAGTGCCGCGAGGTATAAAGAGAGGGGCTTCCCAAGCGCTCAAGAACGAATTGAAGAGAAAAGTTGCCAAGAGGTTGAACGATATTTTTGGAGAATAAAACATGGTCCGCATCAGCACCGTACGTCAAAGTGATCCTATCATTGGTGTAGGCACAACATCACCGACAGATCCTGTGTTTTCCATCTTAAAAAGGTATAAAGGGAGAAGAAGAAGAAAACAGCAACGAGGAGGATTTCTCACAAGTCGTATAAAGAAAATAGGAACACGACAACGTGTGCATAAACGCAGAAGACGTTGAAACAGACACATCACCATGTCTATCAAAGGGGCAGAGCAGAATTCAAGTCTAGATCTCTTTAGAATACCACCTACCGATCTTTCTACGGTAAAGTACCGATATGTCAAAATACCACCTCAGACATCTAGTATTACTCCTATCCAAGTGTACGTGGAACGACAATCAGATCTCATCGATCTTTCGAGAAGTTTTGTACAACTGGATTTGGGTTTCAAAACCACAGAAAATGCCAGTCTCACAGCACGCGCAAACAATGTGGGTGTGATGACTTCACCAGCCAACAATATTGCACACACCCTCTTCAAGCAAATCAATTTCAGAGTCAATGGTACCTTACTCACAGAACAAGTAGACATGTACCATCTTAAAGCTTTCATACAGACGATCCTTAATTATGACAGGAATGATGGAGAGACAATACTCGAACCAGCTGGATGGCGGAACGAAATTGATTCTCCTGTAACCTACACCGCTGCAAATGTCAAGATGGATGATGACGCGTATACAGCTCTTTCCATAAATCATCAAGAAAGCATCAAGAGACAGAGAGCAGATGCAACAGAATACTATGCAGGAGGAAAGAGGAGAATCTTGAGAATGAAACCGTTTATAGACGCGTTTCACCAAGGAAAATGGATCGTCCCCAAAACTCTTTTGAATTGGAATTTTATCTGAATCCAGCAGCTTTATTCATGAATGGAGAAGCCAATCCACCCAGTGAGGAAGTCCGAGTCAACCCAGAGGATATTAAACTTACCTTCTTTCTATGTCTGGTGTCCCTAAACCCAGCCGTCTACATGAGCATGATGAGTATGATGACCAAAACCCCAACCAAGTATCCCATGATCCGTACCGAGATGAGACAGTTTCCCCTAGACAATGGGGCCACTTCTAAAGAAATCAACAACCCATTCAATGGAAAGGTGCCCCAAAGAGTCATCATTGGTATTCTGAAAACTACTGCATTCAATGGTCAATACAACGAAGACCCCTTGGCCTTTGGAAAATTTGGGGTGGAATACATCAAACAAATTGTGAATGGAGAAGAATACCCATACGAGACTTTGGAACTCAACACGGCTAATGGTCAAAAAGACTTGGTGGGTTATCACCGATTTCTGGATGCTACTGGCTGTCTGTACAGAAATGCAGGAAACATGGTGCGATTCAAAGACTGGGGTCATGGAAAAAATTGCACGCTGTTTGCGTTTTCCAATGTGGCCAATGGAAGACACGATGACCCGGTTCTTCTACCTAAAAATGAAGGCTTCATCAACATTCACATTAAATGTGCAGGGCAAGCAAGTCAGAAAACGGTGATCGTTTATGCTGAATATGAAGGCATTATGGAAATTGATGGCATTAAAGGAGCTACCACGATGGAAGTGCATTAGTGATGGAGTTTGTGTGGCTTACTACGAATCAACTCAACGCTTTAGCGGATAGCGATCCAGAACTCCGCAAGTACTTTGTGAGTGCTTTAGCCTGTGACGAACTACCCGAGTCGCCTGAACGTGTGAAACCGAGAGCTTACATTGTCAATACTCACCCTGCAGACAAACCTGGGGAACACTGGATAGCTGTGTGGACCGAACACGATAGCTGTGAAATTTTAGATAGTTATGGTTTAGATTTAACCACCTATGAATTTCTGACACCATTCATTGTATGGTTAAACCGATGGTCTTACGTGCGTAAAAATACTCGAGCATTACAATCTGTAAAACCGCAAGTTGTGGAAACTATGCCATCATTTATTTAATGTGTAAAGCAAGACGCAAGAGTATGGATGAGTTTTTTTTCCATGTTTTCTAAAAAGGATTATGTAGGCAACGATGATAAAGTAGGCGACATGTTAGAAGATATCATTCAATCGTTAATAAAATAAAAGGAATTAAATAAAATCGTGTCATTTTTGTGTAACTCGCTTTTAGCAATCATGTTCAAGTGTGTGGAACCAGGATTTTTGTTCAAATCCCCTTCCAATATTTTGATTGTGGGCCCTACAAGTTGTGGAAAAACCATCTGCTTTTAGAAAATTTAGACCTCTTTGACGAAAGACCGCCCCGCGTGCATTACTGTTATGGATCCTGGCAAAATAAGTTTGACGACATGCAACGCCATGGCATAGAATTTTTTTAAAGGAGTGCCTACCCACGACGATTTAACAACATGGTTTGGAGATAAACGAGGGGTATTCTTGTCTTGGATGATCTCATGTCGGAGGGAGGAGATGACAGAGAAATACTTAATCTTTTCACACAATATTCTCACCACATGAATGTCACCGTGTGTTATCTCTGCCAAGACATGTTCCCTCAAGGAAAATATGCCAAGACCATCTCTAGGAATGCGCAATACATTATTGCCTTTAAAAATCCTAGAGATAAAGTGGCGTTGCGCACCTTACTGCTACAGATATACCCGACCAAGTGGCTACCTGTCATGGATATATATAACGCATGTACGGACAGACCCTATGGTTATTTGTTATTTGACGTACACCCTGCAAGTAGAGATTCTACGAGACTTTTAAGTCACTTGTTACGACACGAAGGGTGTGTACGCTGTTACAGAGAGAAATAAATAAGAAAGATGCCTGGTTATAAGCGCAGTATGCCCACAACCCGAAGGAGAAGAAGAGTGAAAAGAAGAGTGAAAAGAAGACTAACCAAAAGAGGACAAAAGGAGGTATCCTACCATTAGCGGCACTCATTCCAGCCCTCATTGCTGGAGGTAAAGCATTGGGTTTAGGTGCCCTTGGAGGAGCTGCATCGTTTGGGGCTAAAAAGGCCTAGAAGCTCTTACAAAGAAAAAGCGATGATTAATAGTTTCAAGAGAAATGTGGATTTTTAAAAATCTATTTTACAAGAGAAAAATAGAAAGCGTCGTATGGAAAAATTACTTCACGCTGGTAAAGATCAAATCAATGCCGTCAGTGAATTCACGTTGAACATGTTGAAGAAAAAAGATACCTTTATCACCGCCCACCGTTGCCAAACTCAAGAAATATAGAGTGATGTTGAGAGAGTTGGGTAAACGGAGGAACTCTTTAAGAAAGCGGCGTCAATTACTTGTGAATCAAACAGGCGGTAGCTTTTGGAGTGGTATGAACGACGCGTTCTGTCAGTGTTTCAAGAGATCATGACTGTCACCGTGCAAGAGGGTATAAACGAAGTGGACACGGGTATAAAGTTTGATTTGCAATTCAACTACGACGACGACGACAGTGACTATAAGGATTCAACCGAGTGTAGACTCACAATAACTCAACTGTTTCGGTGGTTGCGTATGCGTGTGGTGGAACCCTTGTGGCGATTATGGAGACGTTCTTAATGGTGAAGCCCGATGAGTTTCGAGCTTTGGTAGATTATTACAAGGGAAAAATTACTGAAAGTACTCTTCTGGACAAAGCCGCACGCGTGGCCGCCGAAGCAAAACTGTTATTAGAAGATACATCTACTCCTGCTGCTTTAAAAGAACCTGTAGTAAAAGAATTGTTAATGCAAGAACGCAAGCTTACTGACAAATTGAGACAGATTCCTATCGCCGGTGGTGTAGAACCTCCACCTCGAGACGATGATGGTAATCTCATGGAGGGGTTGCAAGAGGGATTGTTAAAAGAACTCATTAAATCCATAAATATGAGGGGACAAGCCGCCGTACCTCAGATGACACTCAAGAGGGAACCTGTCACACCTGTGGGGATCAAGAACGAACCCGTCACCCCTGCGAAACCGGGAACGTCCAAGATTCCTTTTCTCACAGCTCCATCCCAAAAGATACAAAAAACGAAACGAAAACTTCCTGTTCCCACACCGCAAAAACATCGCACGGAGTTGGAACGACTCAAAGAATTTGGTAACTGGGAACCTTGGGAAAAGAGAGGTTACGACCCGTATCAAGTGTTTGAAGATGACGAAACGCCAAAGTCGAAGAAAGGCAAAGGGAGGGGCAAGAACCGTCCAAGCTAAGGCTAAAAGGAAACGACAGAGAGGAGGAAAATTTGATATTCAGAAATGGATTTCAAAGTTAGGTGTCGAGTTTCATTGGCCCGGATACCAGTATATGGGTCCAGGTACAAAATTAGCCAAGCGATTAAAACGTGGTGATCCAGGAATTAATCGTCTTGATAGATTAGCCAAACAGCACGATATTGATTACAGTAAAGCTAAATCACTCGCTGACAAACATATTGCAGATCGTAAGATGGTAGCCGGAATCGATAAGTTTCCAGGCAAGAAGAGTTTAACCGAGCAAATTGTGAAGCGAATCATGCAAGCTAAACTTAAAACAAAATTGTAACGCCTCTACAATGATGAAATAAAACTTGTGAAAATGCAACACAGTGTGTCTCCGGTTCATTCGTAGTTGTGTCGTTATCGAGAGCACATCATGTCAGGTAATACTTTTTACTTGACGTTACCCAGTAACGATGGGAGTCTGAAATATTTTCCAGACAACAAAAACAATTCTTGGAAAAATCGATTAGACAAACGCATCGATTTAGAAGGAGAGTGGGAAGTGGGATTGAGTAGTATTTCGCTTCCACACGATTCTAAGGTGTCCAGTTACCTCAAAGGATTAAAAGACGATGATGTCTTGCTAACCACAGGACGAATTAAAGTAGCCACTGGGGATACACAACATAAAGTGACTTACAATGTCACGTATGGAGACATCAAACAACATCGTATCGAGACAGTTCACGATTTACTCAAATCCTTGTTTGATGAAGAACGTTTAAAATGTATTATGAATATGGGCTCGGCGTTGGGGAGTCATTTTTCTTCAGGACACAGCGCACAATTTGAAGTGATTGCGGACGAGGATAAAGAAACGATTACTGTGACAGCAGACAAGGTAAAATCGACTGATATAACTCATCAAGAAGTTCGTGACGGTCTCTATTTTGAGTTACCTCGAGACATGTGTGAGTTGTTTGGTTGGACAAAAAAAACAACAGTGCGTTATCGTCCTATTGTTAGTGGTCCTATTAAAGAGAATCGTAATGTATCACGACCGGCGCATAATCTCACAGTGACCAAACGTGGTACGGTGTGGAGTTATGATAGGAGGCTTACTACATCCAGTTTGGCGTATTACAGATATGAGATCCCATGGAAAGACCGATTTGCGGAGAAATATCATAGATTTCTTCTTAGCGATCTGAACTGGACCTTTATCAATACTAAGAGAAGTACCTACTTAAATTTACCTTACCCACGAACCTTGTATATGTATTCCTCGCTTTGTGCTCCAGTACGCATGGGAGATCAGACGACTGATCTTATACGTCAAATACACTACCAACCAATCTTGGAAGGAAATTATTATTACGAACCCAAGCAGATTCATTACATCAAGTTACGTAAGAATCACATCGATGTGGTGGAAACACAGATAAGTGAGTCGGAAAATAATAATTTGGCTCAGTTTACAGACGGCGCTTCTATCGTCACACTTCATTTTAGACGCGTACGTTAACGCATGGATGCCGCCGCCCAGGAAAAGGACAGAGGAGGAAAATGTCCATTCCATCCACTTACTTGCAAATGTCCTTCACGTCACGAGTGGCAAGACAATATTGAAAAGGAACTACAAGAAATGATTCGCAGGGTAGATCAAAGAACAGCCTTTCTTAGAAAATGGATGGATAATATTACAGAGGGAATGAAACGCTTGTAAGGATGACAAAGACACGTGATTTAAATTGTAACAATTTAAACTGTTTTATTTAAAAATAATAAAAAGGGAAAAAACGCTAAAGTGTCTTGGCTTGAATGTCTCTCATATAAGTGTTTCAATGTTTAAAATGTCTTGTGCATCGAATCCTGTAAACTGGGCGTATCCGTAGGGATACGATTTAAATGTTCCTACATGAAGTACCCGCTTGTCGAATACCAAACCATATTTTTTGACTTGTGTTTCTGTCTTAATCTTCTTGGCATTGTAAAATAATAAAAAGGGAAAAAAACGCTAACGTATCTTGGCTTGAATGTCTCTCATATAAGTGTTTCAATGTTTAAAATGTCTTGTGCATCGAATCCTGTAAACTGGGCATATCCGTAGGGATACGATTTAAATGTTCCTACATGAAGTACCCGCTTGTCGAATACCAAACCATATTTTTTGACTTGTGTTTCTGTCTTAATCTTCTTGGCAATTGGATCACGCCTAAAATGTCTCGGGTTCACAATGTCAGTGTCTCTTCTTTCGTCCTGCGGGTCTAAAATTTCATCCAAAATATTTTGCCGCATGACCTGATAATTAAGCTGTTTGGCACCACGCACGTTAAGGGAAAAGCCACGAACTTTACACACGATTTTCCCATGTTTCGTCGCATACCCATAGTTCTTGGCACCCCCTGACACAAATTCCACGATGTAATCCCTTCATCCAATTCATTGGTCATATCGCCAAGGTAATCACCTAAGGGAATTTCTGTTTGACCTGGCTTCCACGTGTAAATGACCGAGTCTGTATCATAATACAAGACTCGATCGCCCAACGCCTCCAAAGATTCATAAAGCTTAAGACGGGCCTGACAGGTGGTAAATGCTGCTATGAATATGTTGGTCTTGGACCCCTTTACTGCATCCTCTTCTATCTTCTTATACGCCAATTCAATCACATCAGCACTCAAAATGCGTACGTCTGATATTTCAATCGTTGTGTCATTTAAATGATCAATCAGCTCGTGTGGTTCTGTGATTTGCTTCGTTTTCATCTTGTTCATTTGTTCGCCAAACTTTCCCCAAAAAGGAGTTCAGCATCAGTTTGGCAGTGGCCTTTCTTCCTGGATTTTTCTTGATGTGCTGGGGTCTAAGTCTATCCCTTCTCTTGCCTTGTAATTTTTAACATAATCTTCTTTTTGCGCGTCCGTTTGTGCCCAGCTGGGGTAACCACTACTTTCTTGTTTTATCTTAAACCAGGTGTCTACGTACGGGGCAAACAGACCTTGCTTTCTTTGGTCTGGTGGAAATGCCATGCTTCGTGTATGCGAAGAACCTGATACCCTTTTTTTCGACAGCTTTCATGATTTCGGGTGTACACCAAGTACCGGTGAGCATGCGATCCTCCACACCATGACTACAATAATAATTTCTTCCCAACATCGGTTTGGCACTTTCATCTTCCACACATTTTCGACATAATGGAAACGTCAGTTTTTTTTCCATGTCGAAGAGGCAATACGGGATTGTATAAATTATAAGGCGGTAAAATGTCCACTGTCAATATACCGTAGTAGGAGGCTGGATCTTGGTCGTCTGGTTCCAAAAAGATTTCGGGGTGACCTATGGGGTAGGTGCCGTATTTGTTTACATAGGGATATTCTGAGGTGACGTCGACGTATCTGATTTGCTCGCCTTCATCTGTGTTGGCCTTGTAATAAAGCGACGCCGCCCCAGTTCGACCTCCAAAGAACGCATCTCTCGGATTGAGCTGTGGTACAAGATTGATTTCCTTGAGAAAATCTTGAATTTCCTTTGAGGCCTTTTTTTTGCTCCTTCCATTGACATTCCCAGATTTGAACCACTTTATACCCCATCTGTCGGAGTGTCTGACATTTGTCTTCCGTCTGCTGACACAAGGCTTCCATCGTGTAGCTGCCTGATGAAAACGCCATTTTCTTGCGGTCTTTATGACAACGTCTGCACCCGTGAAACAAACAGCCATGAAATTCATACACAGTGTTTGTGTGGCTATCAAAACCATCGACATGGTATGCCTGGGGCCCTGCGGGTATCAACTTCTCCCCACCATTACGAACATGTTGGATACGTGGGCTGTCTGATTCAAGCTGATGTTCCTGCCACATCAACCATTCTAATGCAACTTCTGATTGATTGACTTGTGCCCCACGCCATCCTCTTACAGGTTCAACGGCCACAGTATCCTTGGAAAGATGTTTTTTACGCCAATATCTGTTGCATGCTGACGCAATCGTGGCACATTTTTCCATCGGATCAAACCCAGAAGTGGACTGGAATTCATTCACAAATTTAAGACAGCCGGCTTTAAGAAGGGCGACATCTGATTGGCAGTAGGCTATGAGTTCTTGCTTGAGATCAAATGGGTGTTGCTTTTTCACTTGTTCTTCATACCAGACTTGAAATTCTTTTTTTTTTTAGAATTGGACATACTTTCTGGGTCGTAACAGGAGGCTGCTGGCAGGGCTCCCACATAATCTTGATGGTCAGGTGTGTGGAACAGGTGAGGAAAGAAACCTTTCTTGAGTTCCGTGAGACCAAAGGTACTGGTAAAGGCTGAGAGTGACATCGGGAGGAAGCTGAACGAATCTTTGAATGTGATTTGACCCACTTTGAAGGATAACCATTTAGTGCCTATGGCGATGATGTCCTCGATCTTTCTTTCTTCCTTTACCAACTGATGCTGTAGAAACATAGAATCGTACCCCTTTAAATTATGGAAAATGCATATCACCTCGCGTGGGTCGCCATATTTGTCCTCGGTGAGCTGGGTGAGAAAGTTCAGAAAGTCGGCCGTGCAATTCTCCCCGTAGTAGGTTTCGAAGGTATCATCTTCAGAGGTGAGGGCGCAGACCAATACGGGGATGTGTGTGTTATCTTCCGCTATCATAGATTCAAAATCAGCGTAGACGAAGATGGGAGGTTCTTCATACACCGAGGCCAAGGGATTTTTTTTTTTTCTATGGCGTTTCAGGGTTGCTTTGGTTTTTTTTTTCTTTGATCTTCTTTGGATGCCACAGGTTGAATAAAGCATTTGTGTTCTGTAAGTTTTACATATTCATGGCATACGGAGCATTTGTCAAAGTAGCATTGGTGAGGTTCTTTTGACGCTGAGGTTTGAAACTCCTTACGACACATAGGGCATTGAACAAGGCTGTCGCAGATCTTTTTCTCTTTATGCATGTCATAACACGTCTGACTGTAAAACTTTCGGCAACAAGAAGAACAGGGTACTTCACGCAAGGGATAATCAGGTTTTGCGCCACATTCTACTTGTTTGCATGCATGACATCTTCGACCCTCACATGGATGATGTCTGAAGTCATTATGATCAAATCCCTTGTTGCACTGATCGCAAAAAAATAGGATCGTTCTAGAAAACCAGCGTAAGATGTGCAAGTGTCATAGTGACCAGTCTCAGAGTCATCGTGTTTCTGGAGCAAGAGGCGGATAATATGCGGTGCTTCTGGGCCTACAAATACCATCATGTAGGGGTAGGAAGTTGCCATGACTTTCAATTGGTAGTCTGGTGCTAGGAAGTCTTGAAATTTTTTCAATTCTTGGTGCCCGCATGCCCCCAAAGGTACGCCCGCATCTTCATGGAGTTGATAGGCCATTCGTGATCGAACAGTCTCACATTTTCTTGCATTCTCGTAATCGATTTTCTGTCGATCCCCCTCATCTTTATGGATCCATGCTTTTGCGACACAAATGGCTCTTGCACAACACAATTCGTCTGAATTTGTAATTTGAATCACGGAATGTTTCTTTTTCAAAACTTCTGCCATGGATCGCTTTCCCAATAGAGCTTTTTGTCTACCACTTTTACCACCTTTAGGCATTCGAATAAAGGTAAGGTCGGCGGTAAACTTAGAAGAGGATTTAAACGATTCTCCTGAATTCAATTTATTAGCCATAGTAGTCATGTAATTTTCAAAGCGTTCTGAATTCTTCATGATTTCTTCTACTTTGAATGTGGCTGATTGTTGGGCGTGGGCGAATTGATCCGATTGTAAGGTGAAATGGAACGCGTCATGAGATGACGCTGAATTTGTTTTTATGTATCGATCTAAAAAATAACCCAAAATAAATTTCGATAAGAGTCTATCCCCGGAAACTTTTTTTATAAAACATTTTTTAAAATCTTACCTCGCTAAACGCATTAGTAATTTCTTTTCCAATACTATCGCCTTGGGATGGAGTTCGTATCTGCTTGAGGGTGGCCTTGTATCTTTGTTTATCCGTTGTCTTTTTTCTAATTTTTTCGGAATCCAGCATTTTGAAATTCAAAGTTAAAGAAAGCACCACCACACTCAAGTCTAAATTGAGGGCATCCAATTGTCGTTGGTCCAATTGATCATATAATTCATTGAGTTGATCGTCAGATATTTCCCCACCATACTGTTGTTTTTCAAGTTCATCATAATGTTGATTTAATTGGTCATCCGAGATACTATCCTCTTCCTCCACATCATCATTCTTTCTTTTTGCCATCATCAACTAACAAGACATGACACAAATATAAGTTTTACTCGCATTTTATTTACATAAGTTTGTACTTTTACACGGTTAAAAATCATCAGGGTTTTTCATATAATCCTTCACTAACTCCGTTGCGGCTTTTAAGTTTTCTTTCTTAACCAGCTTTAAGAGCTGCAAAAAAACTTGAGTTCTATGAATCTTCTGTTTTGTTAGCTCTTCTAGAATTTTCTCATAGTCGATCATGTCGTCTCGGCACTCGGGACATATATAGGCGGTAGGGTCCTAAAAACGTAAAACATTTGTAACGTATTAAAAATGCTGCTTGCCTGCCGCGACAGTCTTATTTTGACACTATCATACTGACCTCCAACGTTTTGTTCTCTTGTTGCGCCATCTTCACTCGGTCTTTAGGATTTTAATCTTCAGTCTTCAGATTCTTCTCACTTAACTTCTGCAACTTTTAAGATAAGAGTGCGCGACTTATATACTAAATTTTGTGTCATTTGATTGGTCTGTTTTCCCGCATGGTGATTGGTGAATTCTAAAACGACGCCATCTGTGATTGGTGCATTTCGATCCGTCGGTATACTCAAGGTCATCAAAGAAATTTGGTGTTATTTGATCAGTTGGATTTCCCGCGTGGTGATTGGTGAATTCTAAAACGACGCCATCTGTGATTGGTGTATTTCGATCATTCGGTATACTCAACATCATCAATGAAATGGTCCAACAAAACGTAGCGGTATCGTTTTGTTACTACACTTTTGCGTAGCGTTTGAATCTAAGAAAGAAGTGTGTCATTTTTCGGAATTAGATCGTAAAAATCCTTGCTGGACTTTTGACCAAGGTACGTACGTTACGAGTGATTTTTTTTTTACTTTTTTCAGTCGACTTTTTCCTAACAATGTCGTTTTTTTTTTAGATGCCACCTGTAAGACGATCACGAAGGCTCGCACGACAAGATGTGGAAGAAGATGGCAGACCGTATGATTGTTTCATCTGTTTAACGCAAATCAACGTCAATATGCACAATGCTACAGCTTACTTAGGTCAGCGGCGAAATGGCGGTCAGTCGTAATTTTCTCGGCTCCGCCATAGTCACTTATCTATATCTGTTCTGTTGTTTAAGTCGCTCTTTAATTTATCTAAATACGCTCATTTTCTGTCCATCTTATGCCCTTGATGATTCTGGAGTTACAAAGACCACTAATGAAGTGGATTTATACCGTGCAAGTTGCTCGTCGTCGATGCGTTTGTTCCGCCATCTTGGATTTTCATCTTCAACAAGATCGCATCGCTACTTCACTGCTCGGATATCTCATACTCCGAACTCCGTTTCCTCCTTTAACCTAACGCGTCTTCGCTTAACAACGAGTGGCGACATCAGCCCGAACCCTGGTCCACTAATTACGTCTTTTACAACAAATCGTCGAGCAGTTAAACATCGAAGCCATCATCATAGCCACCGCTCCAACGTTGTGCAGGTAAACCGCGTATCTGATCTCCATTTGAGTACATCGAACACTCAGCTGACCATGTGCACGTTAAATGCTCGCTCTATTTCAAACAAATCTGCACTGTTTGTTGATTATGTCAGCGAATGCAAAGCCGACCTAGTTGCAATAACTGAAACTTGGTTATCAGACAACGACTCCGCTGTGTGCTACGAGATAACTCCTGCTGGCTATAAACTGTTACACTGCCCTAGGGGTGATCGTAGAGGTGGAGGTACGGCCCTCTTGTTCAGAGATAACATCAATGTTTCCAAGCTCGAAACTGTTTCAAGGATTTCCTTTGAATCTTCTGAATACCTTGTCTGCACTGGCTCCCTACGCTTTCGATTGGCAATCATCTATCGACCGCCGTACTCTGTTAATCATCCTGTGACTGTGAACAGTTTTATTGACGAATTTTCTGAGTACCTTGAATCTGTTATCCTATCTAACGATGTCCTGTGTTTAACTGGCGATTTTAACATCCATGTTGATGATCACAATGATTCAGCTGCTTGTCGCTTTTTGGATTTATTGGAGTCAATGTCTTTAACTCAACATGTGACAGAACCAACGCATGAACTTGGTCATACACTAGATCTGGTAATTACTCGAAAGTCAGACAACCTTATTAGCGGTCGACCAGCGCCTGACATTCTATTTTCGGATCATCTAGCGTTACTTTTCAAATTGAAAACACCTCGACCACCTCTCAAAGTTGGGCGTGTCTCATTTAGGAAGTTGCGATCAATTGATAAGTCTGCTTTTGCGGATGAAATCTGTAACAGCGAGCTTCTTCAAACGGATACTGAAGATCCTGACGAGCTGGCCGCCTTATTCAACAACACATTGCGTTCCCTGCTGGATCGGCACGCTCCTGTTAAGCAAAAAGAATGTTACTATTAGATCTCGTGTTCCATGGATGAATGATGAAATTATATTGGCTAAACGTCAACGGAGGAAAGCTGAAAGGAAATGGAGGGCTTCTAAAGCACACATCGATTTACTATCCTATCGCGCAATGAGAAATCGAGTGACGTTTTTGAGTAACGAGGCTCGTTGTGCATACTATACAAACTTCATAACTGAGAACAGCACGGACCAGAGAAGGTTATTTAGAGCAAGTAAGTCCCTGCTGAATTTATCAAATGGTCCTGGCCTCCCACTGTCGACTAATGATTATCAGTTGGCTAATGATTTTGGAAAATTCTTTGCTCAAAAAATTGCTGATATCAAGTCTGTTATTGCAAACCAGAGCCGCCTTCCTGTCACCATCGACGCTGCCAGTACTGTGACTGCTTCCTGTTTTTCAGAATTTACTCTCCTGTCCGAATCAGAGGTTTTGATTTAATCAAAGCTTCATCAAAGAAATCTTGTCTTCTTGATCCTATTCCAACCAAACTTCTTACGGACTTCGCCGATGTGCTACTACCTCCGATCACGAAAATAATAAATCTTTCGCTTGATTCTGGTTATTTTCCACGCACCTGGAAAAGTGCTCTAGTAAGGCCGCTGTTGAAGAAGGATGGATTACCTCTTGTTTTTAAGAACTACAGACCCGTGAGTAATTTGGCATTTATCTCAAAGCTGGTTGAGACTGTTGTTGCCAAGCAGCTACAGCATTATCTGAATGGCAACAATCTGTTCCCAGTGTTTCAATCCGCCTATCGACAGAACCACAGCACAGAAACTGCACTCCTTAAGGTTATGAATGATATTCTCCTTAACATGAACAGTCAACGTGTTACTCTGCTTATTCTGCTCGATTTAAGTGCTGCCTTCGACACAGTTGATCACGACACCATGCTACGTCGACTTGAGTCATCATTTGGTATACATGGGAAAGCCCTCTCTGGTTTACGTCCTATTTGTCTGGTAGAACTCAACGGATAATGATTAACGATTCGCTGTCGGAACCTTTTAAATTAGAATGCGGTGTGCCTCAAGGTTCCTGTCTGGGTCCGTTATTGTTTTCGTTGTATACGAGCAAGCTTTTGAGATCATTGAATATCATTTGCCCACGATTCATTGTTACGCTGACGACTCTCAAGTTTACATCTCATTCAGCCCCAACGACAGAGCTGAGCAACTTGCTGTAGTGAGGAGTATGGAGGACTGCATCAGAGACATTCGTCTTTGGATGTTGAATAATGATCTTAAATTAAATGACGACAAGACTGAATTCCTTATCATTGGCACATCACAACAGCTGGGAAAGCTCGACAATATCAGTATACGTGTGGGCGACTCAGACATACATCCCGTGCCAATTGCGAAAATCTTGGTTCCTGGTTTGATTCAAGGCTCTCCATGGCAACACACATCACGAAAATTTGTGCCTCTTCATTTTACTACATTTATAATATTCGTCGGATCAGAAAGTACCTTTCACAGCAGTCAACGGAAACTCTTGTCCATGCATTTATAACGAGCCGCCTGGACTATTGCAATGGCCTATTATATGGACTACCGGACTGCTTGTTGAATAAGCTGCAACGAGTACAGAATGCTTGTGCCAGATTGATTCTTAAAGAACAGAGATTTTGTCATATTACGCCCTTAATTTTTAAGTTACACTGGTTACCAATTAGATATAGAATTGAGTTTAAAATATTGTTAATTACTTTTAAGATTCTTAATTTTTTAGCCCCTTCTTATCTATCCTCTCTTATTTCCTTAGACCCCCCCAAATATAATTTAAGAAATTCCAGTGATAAGCTTTTACTTAGCCATCCATCATTTAAATCGAAAGCTACACTGGGGACCGTTCTTTTACCTGTGCTGCTCGAAACTATGGAACGAACTACCGCTGGATATTAGGAGCGCAAGAACAGTAAATATTTTTAAAGCTAAACTGAAGACTCACCTTTTTCGTAGTGCATTTCTATAGCTTTTTTTTTTTTTTTTTTTTTTTTTTTTCTCGTTTCTTAAAATTATTGTAAGTCTATTTTAATGATAATTTTAATCTTGTAATGCGCATTTGAACATTTTATGGAATTTGCGCACTATAAATTTTTAATATTATTATTATTATTACACCTTGTTGCCAAAGACGCATACATCGCCGGTGTTATCAATCTCACGTTCATACATCTGATACGTGTGGTCTTTGCAGAGAACCTTTACTGTCCATGAGGCGCAAGCTATGGCCGCAATAGCAAACCCAGAACCGGAACATCCAATTCGTCAAACAGATATGGAACTCCGCAAGCAGCAAAGGCAACAAGCGATCCGCGATTTAGAAGCGTTGTTACAACCAGGAGTTCTCGAAGCAAGGATTGAACAGGTATGTTTAAAAGTTCT